TTTCCCTGATGGACTTCTTGTGGAAGTGGTGGACAGTTTGAATATTTGGGATGTGGTGGAAGCACACTGTAGCTTCCCAGCATCTATGAACCCAGCAAGTAGGGGTTGTTGGTATGTTTGACAAGCCACCCAGAACCCTCCCTGGGTTCACACAGCCATTGATGGATGGCAGTGATTGTGTGAACCAGGTCAATTACCATGGAGAGGCACTAAGTTATGATGGTTTATTTCCACTCTCCATCCTAATTGCCAGCAGGCAATTAGCATTTTTAGCCTCGGCAACATAGCTTGTCATGTTATGTGAACCCAGCACATGGCTTGGTTAACAAGCCATCCAAAATCCATGAGCTATAGTAGGGCTCTGGGTGGCTTGTTGCCTATGTGTGGGGGAAGAAATAAGCCAGTGTGTATTATTACTCCCTGGAATAATGAGAACCAGGTCAGTATGGCCAAACATAGTGGCCTCCAAGTATTCTGAACTTCAACTCACATCAGGCCCAACCAGCATAGCAAGGAAGCTTGGAAGTTGTAATCTAGAATGTCTGGATATGCCAGGTTGGGGAAGTCTGCTCTAGAGATTCATTGAAGTAAGTCAAAGACTGATCTGAAGGGAGAGGACAGGAGGTGACATAGAAGAGAGCCTAAAGCAAGAGAAAGCCATTGCAAGAATAAGTACATACATAACTGGTCTCTGCTGGGCTGCTTATTTTTTTCATAGGAGTGCTCTTCTTTCAGTTCACACAGATTGTTAGAAGAGGTTTGGCGTCAGTAGGGAAACACTTGGGGAAATTTGCACCTCACTGTTCAGACTGAGGACAGCAACTGTGGCTATTTCAGTGGTCGTGAAAGAGACTAAAAAGATGGAGAGAAAGCAGTCAGGTACCTATAGGGGTTATAGAAGGATAGCAAAAGAATGTAAGGTTTAAGAGATGGCCAGGAGAAGGGTTACATACCTAACAGGCAGTAGATTTCATGGATTGCACTACCTAGTATCTTTGTTTCAGTGCCACCACCGTGGAGTATTTGGATCTGTAACCACTGCATTCTCTTTTGGGAAGGCCACGTTGGGTGTCTGCCTTGGGTGGGAGGGGCATGCAGTGGAATGCCCTGCTTTAGTATCAGGAGACTGGTACAATTAAGGCCCCTTACACTAGATTCAAGGGTGCATAGGAAGAAGGAAAACCACCTATGTCAAAGACAATATACAGATTATTGAATACAATGAAATATGGATTCCAGATTCCCTTTTCTTTGGCTGTTTTTATTCCCTGAATAGGCCAAAGGATGCTCCATGGGCCTTCAAAGTTGTCTACAATTAAGAAATTGGTCCCAGATGTGGGTAGAGACAATCTCAGGACAGTTCTGCAGCTAGAAGATCTCAGGGATAAACAAATCTTCAGAGGGATACAAACAGGGATATCAGGAATTTGCTTGGGTGATGGACCATCAGACAGTTCATGAGTTAGTTTCCCTTTGTCAGGAAGTTCATGTTCACCACGTGGCCATTACTTGAAGAATATGAGCCACGGGAATTGTGTTTTTCATTGTTAGGGCTGCTGGGGTGTGTAAAGAGGCAAGCCAAGCGACCTCTTCCTATGGCAGCTGGATATTAAGGCGTCAGGGCATAGGCTCAGGCCAGTTCCTTGCAAGCAGAGAGGAGGAAATACATGCATGCACACAGAAAGTCCCCATGGAGCAGGTCCAGTTAGTTCTTATGCCGTCACACATGATAAAGGTTCAGTGGTGCTATGCCATCCACCATTGCTGTTTAATTCTGGACTGTTAGTCCCCCGTAGTGCTAGTAGTTCTCCTCTTTCCTCCCAAGACACTTCTGCCGTATCTGTATCATCACAAGAAGCTACTACCAGCTGGCCCTGTGTGTATGCAGTGGTAGGGAACTTCTTTTTTTCTTTCTGTAAGGATCAATTGTTGTTTTGCCGTGTGGAGAGATTTGGATCAGTCTGACCTACCAGCACCATTTCCCTTAGAAACTTAGCAACTCCACACAGCTTCAGTGAAGTTTCAAAATAACAAAAAGACCCGAGAGATCTTGATCACAGCTCTTCAGCATCCTATCCAGTTTACCTCTAAGAGAACAGTACACTCAATCATAAACTGAACTGCCCCTTTAACCAATTAGTGGCAGCTGGGAAGATCAGCAGATATTTAGCCTCTCTAAAGCAGATCTACCACCAGGATCATCAGCATTGCCTTTACAGAACAGAGATTATGACTTCCAGATGTGTCTGATTTTTATCTTGAATAAAATACAGATTGCCATAGAGACTGTGTATGTATATGTTACAAAACTGAGTATCACAAGTTCAAACTACATGTTACATCAAGAATGATTTTTTTTTTAAATGCATGCTTTCTGTTTTGAGAAAAAAACAGCTGTACAAAGTTCTGACCTAAATCAGGTCAGGATTTTTGGAGGTGGGGGTGGGAAGGGGGTGCTTTGCTTTCTGTCCTTTTGCCCATCAAAAATACTCCACAACTTAGGTTCCACTTTCAGCAAATAGCACTTTTGGGGGCAAATAGCAATTAGGAAATGGCATTTTGGGTGGAAAGTGGTCATGGAGGAGTGCTTTAAGCCTCCCTCCCCCCCGCCCCGTGTGCTATGAATTGATCTGGACTGGGATACCTCACCTGGCTAATTGTTTCAAAAATAGAAGTAGGCAGTGTGAAGTAGATTTTGTTTTTTTGTGTGCTTAACTGCAGCATGTGGTTTGATCATCAAAGACATTTCCATACCTCAAAGTTCAGTGGGTGTCCATTTTGGTTTGCCCTGGCAAATATATCACTATTCAGAGATTTCCCATCTCTCTCTCCTGTGGGGTCTGAACATTTTCCAGTTTCAGTTCTTAGTTCACAGGACTAGTTTAGAGGTTTCAGTGATGAAAAACCAATAGCAGGGGCCAGGACGCTGGCTTTCTCTGGAGCCTCAGCACACAAGGGGAGATTTAGCAGAGCACTTCTCTTTCCTTCCCACCCACAACCCCAAGGAAAATCATCTCTCCCTGCCCCCCTCCACTAGCCTTAGAGAGTAAGAGTCCATTCCATGCAAAACAGGACAGAAGAGCAGAGTTGCACTAATAGAGATGTCTGCCAAACCGTTGTTCCCACTACGGAACAAAGGATTGCGAAGGCTCTTCATCTTGGCTTGTGTCAGAATGAGTCAGTGGGTGGAGCGCCTCTTGCTGGCCCTGCAGCCCTTGCTCAGTTCAGAGATGGCCCCCATTGTGACTTAGCTGCTTTTATTGCCAACAGGGGTGGTTTACTCAGTGGGATCTCCCTATCTCCATGTAGGAAAATACGTGTCTACAGTAATATGAGAAAAACAGCTTTTCCCCCGAGTGGGTCCAGATGCTATTACATGCAATGAATTGGCAGTAATAAAGAACAGATCCACCTAGTACGAATATTGACAAGTATAAATCCGCAATAAGCTCTATACCCTGTTTTGTCTAATAGAAGTATCACCATAAAAATGTCAGCAGCAAACAGTCCCATCACACTTCTGAGAACTCTTTTGCTGTTACAGTAAGTGGACTTATTAGGATTCAGTACATTGTACAACAGATTATGCTGGATGGAGTTTCTGAATTCACAGTGAAGTCACCGCATTTTTATCAATGCTGTTAATCACAGACAATTCTCTAAGATGTTGTTGGCAAGCAACTTGGCACTGAGCACACAGAGACAGCTTGCTCAGTATTTGGCAGAATATGGTGTGCTTACTTTAAGAAATTTAGGATATAATGGAGCAAATCAAGGTTTGGAGACACCGCAGAAGAACTGAGCCAGCTATCTTGCTATGAGGTTAGCAATATTAAGTCATGTATGCAGGTCTAGATTTAGCAACACCATTTGATTAAATGCTTCATAGCCAGTGATCCCAGGGTTGTGTCTGAGCCTAGTCAGACTCATCTTCCCGAAGCAAGTTATGTCTGCCCAGATCTTTGCTCTGCCTGAAGCAGGGACCACCTATGACCTCTTTTGAAGATTCCTTCCTTTTGCTGAAACCTCCAGCATTTCCCTTACACTTCAGCTATTTTTGTGGGTTAGATCTAACAAGATGCCAGGGAAGCTATTCTTCAAGTCCTGTCCTTCTTTTGGAGCTCTACAATCTGCATATTGTGGCTTCTGCACATGTACTCACTTTCCAATCATGTGTGAGCATTAGCAATTCAGGCTATTTTTGGACCAGGCTTGGCCAGGGCCCTAGCCACTTTGGTGCAGCCTTGCCCCAGTCATCCAGTGGGAAGAATTGTGGCAAGGCTTCCCTTTTGGCTCCTTTTCCTCCAATTATGTCCTTGCTATTTTATGGGTGATCCTTTGTGGTAGCTAGAAAAAAACAGAAATATTTCAAAAGGAAGATTGTGAAAGAGAACAGAAGTGGCCAAGGGGCTAGGAATGGGCATGCGTGTGCTTATGTATATGAGAGGTGCAGGTCACCCCCAGCCCTGTTCTCCCTTTTGTAGTGTGACTGTATACCAAGACATCTCTGGGTGTTGTTTATTGCATAATGCAGCTGTGTGCTGATGCTTGATAAAAGGGTTTTGCAAGAAATCTGGTTTCTAAACTCATGGTGGGAGTCTGTGATGCCATTGGCAATAAGACGCTAAGTTGTCTCTGAGTTATGACACTTTGGACTGCAGGTGGAGCCTGCAATGGATGCATGCTCTTCCATTCAAAAATATTATCCACACATAGAAAACTAGATGGCTGCCATCATAGTCTTGAAAAAATGTCACAATGACTTTATCATGTTAAAAACTCCATGGGAATCAGTAATGGACTAAGGTTGCTGAAGGTCTTGCATTCTGCAGGGTATCTACGCCTGTGCTGTTATTTGTTATCCTAAACACGTTTTATTCTATCCAATATGTAGAATAGTAGAAAGTTAAACATATAAATATGTAATGATGTTTTATGGATTTAAAATTATATTTTAAAAGAATTAAATATTAATATGTATTCAATCACTTCAGGGCATATCACTGTCCAAAAATATGGAAGAACTTTAATCAACATATATTTATACTGAACAGGTATTAAGCTGGGTATTCTGAAAGCAGCTGCTTTAGGCACTTGCTCACACTTAAAATTTGTGAAAGTACAATGCAAAAAACTTGAGAGGATTAAAAACACATTTTCATTAACATCAGTTAAAGCATAAATTAAACAATACCCACAATTCATGGAAGTCAAAAATCTCTCTATTTTTTTCCACTTAAAGAACAGAGCATTTATGCTGACTCTGTAGGCCAAACACATTGGCACAGTGTTTCTAATTACAGTCTTCATTGATTCGAATAGAACTAGAAAGATTCATATTAGCTGGCTGACTGCAGGTGGGCATAAGTTTCTTTCAATATGCTTAAAGGATTTGCATATTAGGAGTTAATTGTCATAACCCCCACCCTGGATTTCAGTCTTTAGTATCATAATGGACAAAGAAGTAATATTCAACCACTTCAATCTCTGTGCAGCATTGCAGCTTTGTGAGACTTCATTTCTCTAAGTCTTGAGTTAATGACATGGGGAAGCACTTATATCAGCCATGGAATAGGGCTTAAATGTATATTCAAAGCCCTGTGCCTCTTAACATTTATTTCACAGAGATTAATTTAACATGATCCTTCAAGCTCATTAGATTAAAGTTAGTAATAATTCCTGGGCTACTCAAATATAATGTTCCATTTACATTCTTGACCTCAGCCTCCCCACAACAGGTTTATTACAACAAAATTCTGTCCACCAGGATGGTCTCTCCAACACCTTCTCACCTTGAAGAACTGCATTCCACAGATTTTTGTAAAGCTGGGTGAGGAAAAAAAGGAAAATGAATCACAGTGGTTTCAGTCAAAGAACTGCTCAACATTTTCAGACCCAGGGCCCACTTTTTATCCAAAATTGCAGCATGGAAACCCTTTTACTGTGTATGCATCTCTCCCTCTTTTCCAACCAAACAATCTACATAGAGAGAGCTTTCTGACAGGTACAATTTGTTTAAGTAGGAGGGGTAATTATTTAAAAAGCCCTCCTTTTTAATGATTAGATTTAGAAGTAGGGATGTGCATCAGACTCAATTCTGAAATCCAGTACAGAATTCGGCTGATTTGGGAGGGTTTGCAAGATGTCCTAATCAAAGCTGGGTTCATTTGAAGAGGACCAAATCTGAATTTGAACCTTCCAGAAACTTTGTTAGCAAGACACAGATAAGGTATGTACAAAAATGTAAACATTTCTCTTCAAGATTTCCAAATTTAAAAAAAATGCTGGGGTGGGAGAAGGAGTGACCAGTTTCTAGTCACTCTGGATGGTTTTTTGAGGGCTCCCCAATATCAGCATTTATAAGAGAAGGATGTTGAAGTAATTCATCACAGGACCCTTTGCTATTTCTCTATCCCAGCAAGAGTTGCTGGGCAAGACCCTGGGGAGCCTGGAAGGGTGTGTACTTGAACAGGGGATGTTCAACCATTTCTGTCTTTGCACAGGGCAGAAAACAAAAAAGACTTAAAGCATCAGTCGTTAATTATGATTCTCTAAGTCCTGAATCTATCCTCTGGAAATTTACAAGTCTCCTACTCAGGCCTCATTCATGCTGCATGCAATTTTCATAAAAATTGCCCACAAAAAGTGGGTTAAGAACAATCTTTACAATTTTGGAAATCTCTTCAGTGGTAAGGACTCTTCTGTAGAAACACCTTCACCTATGTTTCTGAATTTTGACAGATTTCATTCCATCAAAAGAAACATTATGTCCACAAATTTCCTCCAAATCTGCCAATATCTGAAAAGTTATTGGCAGATTCTTTAAACAACAACAAGAAAAAATTAAAGGCTCCTGTAACAAAATCCTCTATACCTATTTGTCTGAAATTTGGCAGGCCAAATTTGGCAGGCCTCATACCCTGAGAAAGACTACTCCAGCATTGTCAAAGTGAAAAGTTAAAATCATTGGTTCCCATGATTTCCAATGTTAGTTAATAGGAGGCCTGAAGATGGTGTTCCAAACTGATATTCTGTTCCCCACCACCACAAGAAGAATTGCTCAGGAACTGGTTCAAGGCAAATTAAGCTGTTTCATTTCACCAAACCAAGGTCCTGTAGTTGGAGTACCACCCGCAACTGAATCTAAAAGGAGTTTGTGTTCATTTGCATCCAGACACTCCCCTTAATGTCTCTTAATCTTCTTAGTAAAACAACAAAAAATGACATAAAAAGCAAATGGTACAATCCTTACCTCAGCTTATGAAGTGATCTACTTGTAGGCTACAATCCACTAGCTGAAGATCAATATTTAAGCAGAACTAAGCAGCTAACTCTCAAAATGAGATTATAAAGTCTAAATTGAATTGGAACTGCAAGCTAGACAGACCATTTGCAATGGACAGATTCTGTTCATCGCTGACCCTGCCTTATAACAAAAGTGCTATTGTTTATTCTCCCAAAAAAGCAAGTTGATTTACTGTGAACTGGTACAATTGTTTAATCAATCAAATCTACAAAAATCAAGCTTTTAAGGTTTTCTCTATTTTCTCCCTATTTTTGGACAGTCATCTGAATGGGATGGTGTAAATTGGTGACCTGCAATAGCAAGAGGTTGGTCCCAAAATCAGAGGGATGAAATGCATATCTTCAGTTTTAAGCCACTAAAATTAACCTGGGTATCAGAGCAGGACAACACTCAAACTGCTGCTAGAATTTGATTCTTCTCCCCACTCATCCAGTTAAGAACATAAGAAAAGCCACGCTGGATCAAACCAATGGTCCATCCAGTCCAGCCACTCTATTTACATAGTGGCATGGTGACAAGACCTCCGCCTGCTCAAGCTCCTCAGCAACTGGTTTAAGCAGGCATTTTCCCTCTGGTAATGGAGGAAGCCCACAGCCAGCAAGACTAGTAGCCACTGAAAGCCTCCTGCTCCTGCAGTTTGTTCACCCAAAATGGTGGCCATCGCCACCTCCTGTGGCAGTGAATTCTACAGTTCAACTACATGCTGTATGAAGATGTACATCCTTCTATCTGCCTTCAGCCTCCCACCAATCAGTGTCATGGAATGACTCCAGATTCTAGTATTTTCTGCACCAGGCACATCTGCCTTTTTCCTAAGCTCAGCATTCCCAGTTGTCATAGCCACTTCTCATAGGGGAGTTGCTCCAGCCCACAACATGGTGTCTAAAGGCACAGCGTTCAAAAGGGGCATGAGTTGGATGACGCTTTACCTCTCCATCAGCCCTGGCAATTGGTGAGTTGAGAATGAAGTCAGGAGGAGCGATAACGTCCACCAAAGCCACAGCCTCTTGCTTCAGCTATTTAGGAAAAAAAGAAAATAAATTGGGCATTTCATGGCTACCAATAAATGACAGAGCAGAATTATGACCATACAGGAGACTTTCATTCTGGTTTGTTACGCATTTGAACTTTAAATAGCTGACTTTCCGTGCTCTACAAAAAGCCACAAAGATGGTTGGAAGAAACAGGAAAGTCCTGGAGGATGACAACATGATTAGGACCTGCAAACTTCCTTGAGTGAAGGATCACAAATTCGTAAGTTTCTCTTGTGGAGAAGCCTTTGGATTCTTAGAATTTTCCATCATGATCAGTACAAAATGCCTGTCATTATGATGGCTTGAATATGTATGAAATTCTGTCTTCTCTACTACATTTTGAGTAAAGGGGAAGCTGAGAGAAAAAGAATGCTGTCATGTCTAATTTCTGTGACACAGAGTGGCAAACTGGTCAGGAAAAAATATTAAGAAGGTTTCAGACAAGCAAGCCAGGACAGGCAACGTGCTTGGCAGGCATGGAGACTGAGAGTGGGGTGCGTCTGGAAAGTAGCAGTGTGGCTGAGGGCATAACACTGGAGATGGACTGAAGGAAAGGCATTAAGGAAAAACAGGTGGAGGGGGCACAAGCCTAAAGGAAAGAAGGTGGGTTGGTCTGGAGGGCTGACATGGTATGGAGGGCATTTACAATCTAATTAAAATGAATCGGCCAAAATATTTGGTCATGGACTAGGGACAGGACCACCACCTCTGTGCCACAATTTTGGCTTGCCCTTTTTGGGAACATCTGAGAGATTTTCTGTCTTTGCCACTATTGAGACGGGCTTCACAAAGACTTTTATTCCTTTAGGTATTTGATTTGTAATAGTCTGCTTTTAAAAGTTATTTTATGCTGTCATAGTTCTTTCATAGTGCTGCTTAATAAAAAAAACTCTCTGTAGTTTTATTAGATTGTGTCTCTTATACTATTTATGTCACTGTAACCCCTCTGAGTACATTTTATTACAGAAAAGCAGGACATAAACCAAATGAATTCATTACAAAATAATGCTATATTAGATGAAATCAGAAAATTAAGACTTTACTAGTCTGTTCTTTTAGAGAAACTGTACAAGCTGAAAATGACTATTGACATGTACAGCCGACTTTCTAGATGTTCCCCTCCCCTACCAGTATATGAACACAGTGCAAGCCAGATATTCTGGAACCTACTTTGTTGCTGAAAAGTCACTAAAACTGCTTCAATAACATCTTTTTACCCGTGCTCAAAAATGTTTTTTTCTAAATCTAAGATAAACATTTCCTCATTGACCTTTCCTGGATGAGAATGCAATAACCACAATTCCTCAATATGACGGAGGTGCTGGCACCTCCTTTCTAGGCAGGAACAGAGCCCACCCGTATGTCAACTATCTTCTGCTGTTCCTTTGCCATAGGTGCCCAGGAATTGTGTTCCCAGCTATAGCAAATTTTAAATGTTCAAGGGCACAGAATAGGGTGAATGAAATATCCACCAAAATTATTCCACTACAGCGAGGGGTCCAGTTTGCCAGGATCTTCACCCTTGGAAGCTGAGCCTAGTCTAGATCTGGTACCCAATTTGAGTAGTGCAAGATTGGGGTCAAATACTTTAGTGCCATATAATAGTTATGAAAATGGAAGCACATATCCTAGTAATAGTTAAGGTCACATGACACACTGTCATGCCTGTAAAAGTCATTCTACACATAATGAAGAAGGCGGGTTGCTTACCTGTAACTGTTGTTCTTTGGGTGGTCACCTGTGCATCTTACATATGGGTGTTGCACCTGCGCAGTGTCTGTATTCAGGAAGACTCTCTCACCGAGTAACAGTTTTTGGCGGGAACACCCCCCACCCCCTTGTATAAATGGGCAGAGACCCTGCCCTCTTGCCTGTCTGGCTGAAGACTGTCCATTCGGCCACAACTTGTACCGGCATGTAACTATTAACATCAGAAAAAAACTACATTATATTGTATGAACCCAATCTCTGACACTGATGTGGGGCTGGCAGGTGGATTGTGTGAATGCACAGATGACCATTCAAAGAACGACTGTTACAGGTAAGCTACCAGCCTTTCTTCGTTGTGGTCTCTGTGCATCACACATATGGGTGACTAGCAAGCTTACTGACCTAGAGGTGGGACGGTGTCATTATTGAAGTAGAATGGAAAGGACGGCACGACCAAAGGAGCAGTCCAGTCTAGCCTTCACATCGAGATCATAGTGCTTAATAAAGGTGCATGGAGTGGACCATGTGGCAACTTTGCATAAGTCCTGCTCAGGTATGCCTGCATGTAAGGCTGATGAGGTAGCTACAGCTCTAGTGGAATGTCGTTTTGGAGCAACTGGCAAGTCCAGTTTGGCAAGTTGATAGGAGAGTTGTATAATTCTGATGATCTATTTTGACAAAAGTTGAGGTCCTATTGGTGTTCCTTTATTGTGTTCAAAGTATTTGATGAAAAGGTGCTTGGTTTCTTGGAACAATTTGGTTCAGGACTGGTAAAAGGTGAATGACCTGCATACATCTAGGCTGTGAAGTGACGGTTCAATTGGTGTCAACAGCGCTGGAAAGTATGCCGGTAGCACGCTATCTTGGTTAAGATGGAATGCTGTTGCCATCTTTGGGAGGAAAGTTGGATCCACGTAGAGGACCACCTTTTCCTTACGGAAATTGAGGTATGGGGGATTGACCTGAAGGGTGCATCGCTCACTAGCCCTCCTGGCAGAAGTTATGGCAACCAGGAATGCTGTCTTCCATGACAGCAGTCATAAACCAGTGGAGACTAAAGGCTTGAATGGTGGTTTTGTTAAGGCCTGTAGGACAACCAACAGAGTCCATGCCAGGATGATCGATCACATCGGAGGGTGTAGGTTTTGTAGTCCTTGTAGGAACCGTCGTGTTAATGGTCTGAGAACACAGATGAATCCTCTATATGTTCTCTATGGTACGAAATAGCTGCAAGATGCACCTTAATGGAAGAGGGTTTCAGGCCCCCTTGGTGTAACAAGAGAAAAAATTGTAAAATGTTCTTGATACTTGCAGATTCAGGTGAACTGGTTGCAAAGCTTGTAAATCATTTCCATTTTGAACCAAATGATCATCAAGTATTTTGTTGTATAGCAGAATGCAAGATGTACTGAATGTCCAGATGCAGTCTTCTTGGTATTGAGCTTGTTGACAGTACCAAGATTGGGGTTGGTACCAAGGTTAATGTATTAGCTTACACCATCAGTTTCAGTGTGTGCAGGTCTGGATGTTGAATGCTGCCCTGGTGCTGAGTGAGCAAGTCTGGAATCTCTGGCAGGTGGATATCTGTCTCTTGGGACAGATGGAGCAGAGTCGGGAACCAGGCTTGGCAGGGCCACCACAGAGTAATCTGAATGCCGGTGGCGTTGCCCTGTCCAATCTTCACTAACATCTTCGTTATTAATGGTATCGGAGGGAAGGCATGGTTCCATGGAACCGTGAATGCATTGCTTGCAGAGTTTGGTCCCATGCCCACTCTGGAACAGTAGGTGCTGCATACTGAAATTTGGTGGGTGACAAAGAGGTCTATCAAAGTCGAAGAGACAATGGCAGATTTCTCGATCGAGTTCCCACTCATGAGTCATGGACATGTAGTGGCTCAGGGAATTCACATCTTTGTTCTCCATGCTGGCCAGATGAACTGCCTGTATATCCCTCCTGTGGTTGATACCCCAATTCCAGAGACGAAGACCGAGATGTGTGAGTGGAACTGAACTTGTTCCTTCCTGTTTGTTCAGGTAGAACATGGTGGAAATGTTGTCCATTGCTATCTGAATGGTCTTGCCCCTCAAGATGGTTTTGAAGGAGTGGAGGGCTTTGAAGATTGCCAGTAATTCCAGGTCATTGATATGTCTTGTTCTCTTGTGACCATGCCAGATACCTTGAGTCCAGAAAGATGCATAGTGGGCTCCCTATCCAGTCAAGATGTGTCCGTGTAGAGTGACGCAGGCAGGTTAGGTGACTGGAACGGCATCCCTTGGGTCAGTTTGGTTTTGACTAGCCACCAGGATAGCATTGTAGTAGCACTGAATCCAGAGGTCCAAGCAGTTGGTATGGTGGATCATGTTCAGGATGGAAGATGCAATTGAACCACAACTGCAACAGTCTCATTCACAACCTTGCATTTGGGACCACAGACACTGTAGATGCCATATGTCCTAGAACTTGCTGTATGGAGTGAGCAGAGATTGTCCGGTTGGTGAGCAATTTCGAGATGGAAACTGTCAGTCTTTGCCTCCGTATTGATGGCAGGTATGCCTGCGCCTGAGTGGAGTCCAGATGCACCCTGATATAAGTGATTGCCTGAGAGAGAACAAGGGATGACTTCTCATTATTAATGCACAGTCCCCGTTGGTGAAGTAAGGTGCGTATGATTTCTATTGAGGTCAGGAGGTCCCTCCTAGAGGATAAGACTAGTAGACAATCGTCTAGGTATGGGTAGACCTGCACACCCTGAAGTCTCAAATGGGCACATACCGGGGCCATACAATCCTCTCTTTGTAGCAATGGAAGAATATTCTGAAGTGTGGTCATCGTCAGCACTGGCATTTGTCTGTATTGATGCGCTTCCTAGATTGTTGGTACCAAGGCGCATTGGTACAGCGAGGATGGTTTGGTCTGTGCTGGAAGGGTTGATGCCCCATGGAGTACCCCTGTTGTATAGGTTGGAAGTGGCAATATTGAGATTGTCTATTCCATGGCCACTTATGACTGAGGTATTGGGAAGGTCCCCATCCCATTCTCTGAGCTGTCAGGCATGCCTTGTGGATAGAATTGAGCTTCTTGTCCATTTTAGCATTGAAAAGCCTGGTCCCATTGAACAGCATGTTCTCCACTCACTGTCTTGTCTCCTGTGGAAGGTTACCAGTTCATAGCCATGCATGCTGTCTGAGAGCCACCGCACTGACAAGCGCTCTGGAATCTCAATCCACATGGTGTCTCACCATTGCCAACTGTTGCTTGGAGAGCTGCAT